TCATTATTTCTGCCAATCATATCTGTAACAGGACATAAAGATTGAGTTAATATAGAATAGAAAATTACCTTGCAAGTTTAGCACCTTACCTTAGTGGCAGTACTTCATTCTCTAAAAAAACATTTTAAATTATTACTTAAAAAAAAATGCATATTTGTTACAGCAAAACATCATAACACAATAAACCAGAGTTGAATGCAAATCTAGTTTAACTCCATTCTTGAAAACTAGTTTACTACTTTCAATTAATTTAAAAATAATATAAAAGGTATGTAATGAGACTACCTAAATATCCGCCTAAACTGGCAATCCTTGTAGGTTATACAGGTTAACCCTAACATAGGTTATAGAGGGCACTAAGATAGAGGTATTAATCCCATACTAGGGACTCTATTTTGGTAGGAACAGTTGAAAAGTGAAACAATATTTATAGTGAACCAATGCAAAACAAAAAAACAATAGTCTGTTAGGACAAAGCCCTTTGGACTAATAGATACGAGTAAATTATTAACAGCTTTTAGCTATTTTTTTTCTGTAAAAAATACAGACAGAATTTTTAGAAAAAACAGTACTTTAAGCATGCATTTTCCACATTAACACAATAATATTTAGCTCTGTTGCAATACTGGAAGGTACTCCTCTGTTATTAGGACGGGATTCAGAGTACAATGAAACTCGAGATAAGGAAAGTATGAGCGAAATACTAGCATAATTCGAGTAACGAGCAATGGCCAGGCTGCTGGTATGGGTGGCACCATTTCCCTATCCGGTCAACTCGGGGAATCCCCTCGCGATCACTCAGTGTTCTTTATATACGTGTTTTGTGCACTTGTAAGTTAATTGGTTTTGACATTTAACGTGAAAATAATTATTTCAAGATGCCTCGCAAGAAGATTGTTGGCTCAGATAGTGCTGCAAAGAAACATAAGGAGGCATGGCCGGACTCAAGAACAAATCATAGATAACATAAGCATGGTGACGGAATTGGCGAAGATGCGGCCTTTCAACATCAAAAATCTATACTTTCTGAAGAGCAGGAAAAAATTAAGAAACTGATGTAACAAAGGAATTATCGTTGCTTAAAGCACCATAAAAAAGCTTTGCTTTGAGATCTCAACCTAGATGTTGAAGCTGTTGTTGGGTGGATTAATGAGAAGGAGTTAAATGTTGGTACAAATTAAACTATTGTTTATTATTACCATGTTATTTATTAGAAAAAATTGACTGATATTAAATGTTGATTTTTTGGGGGTGGAATGGTTAACTGAATTTGCATTATTTTCAATGGGAAAGCTTGTTTCTAGATACGAGAAATTCGCTATACCAGTTGATGCTGAACGAATTAATCGTCTTGGGTTTTATTTAACTGTAGATATTGTAATGTATGTATGCGAATATGTGGATAAGTACACTACAAGAATATACACATGCACCATGAGCACCTACATTTAAAATGATGCATATAACACACATTTTGGAACTGTCCTGATAACAGAAGAATACCTACATGATCATAGATTTACATTAATCAGTTTTCTTCGAATTCTTAAACTGAGGGATTTACATTAATCAGTTTATTAGACTTAAATGCAGAGGATTTACATTAATCAGTTTTATAGATTTTTAAATGCCAAGAGGATTTACATTAATCTTTATTGAATTTTTAAATGAAGCTTTCCACTATCCGAAACATTCAGTTTCATCCAGCTGGAACTGTACAGGCAATCTCATTTATATTATTTCCCTCTAACAACTGAACATTTTGAAAACCTTTTCTATCCTGGAAAAACTAATGCTACATAAAATACATTTCTAAATTGAAATTTTAAAGTTAGAAAAATGTATCATATTAACGTAGTTTGTTTATACATATCGCGGGTGAAATCCCCAGAAAAGTAATATATAACAACTTCCTTACAGAAAAGGAAAACCCCCCAAATAAATTCTTGGTTTCTCAAACGATTTCTAACAGATTCTCTTTTACAAACCATTGTTTAGTAACACACAATTTTACTCTTCATTCAAAATAATCGAATTAATATTCTGTTTCAGCCTTTTTATCACGTTCAGACACCGTACTCCTTGACCCAAAATCTTAGTTTCAATACCTTGCCGTAACTATCCTCCTTTTTCTGGCGTCGATTTTACCTTTATTTCTTCCCCTCGCGGGTGTGCCCCCGCCCTGTCACCACTATAACACTTATTCCCACGGACCCGCCCCTTACTCTCAGCAAGGCGGGGGTGGAGAGAATCAACACCACAGTGACAATTTGGGTGGTTGGAACGATAGTGGGAGAAGCAAATACAAAGGGTTTGTAATAATTGCAAATACCTTCTTTTTCGGGCCAATCGAACTGACTTTTTCATGCATCATAATTTTACCTATAGCTTTTCCCCCCCAGTTTCCCGCTATCCCCTCATGTTCCTTGCCGTTCTGTCTAAAGCATTTACTTTATGTTCTGCTTTAACTCGTCTTCCCAGTTCAAACAACTCATTAGATTATTTCCCACCGCGGGAGCCTCCCAAGGCATGATCACCAGTACGCCCCGTCTGCCCCTTTAATACCATCTGTTAAAGATCCTTGGGTCCCCACAAGAAAATTACTTTATCCTCCCTTTTTCCACGGCTCTCCCCTTTATACCCTTTATTTGGTGCCGACCCACGTTACGACCTTGTATGTAATTGTCTTATAGTCCCACTCGTGCCACATATTCGACTTCCTACCTATAATGAGACACCTACGAAAAGGACTGACAACGCGACCGACCCAATCGTACCAATCCTGAATACTGTACACACACCCGTCTTTTGGAACCACTTTACACCCCTCGCTTTCGTATGTGCCCTTGTACGAGTATAACCTGCCAATATAAATACACTCCACACCTAATTAGGGACTCGATTCATCATAAAGCCCCACGTCAACAGTGTCGGCGACTTTCACGCTTTTTGACCGCCATGCCGACCGCGATTCACTTTGTTCCGTCTTTTTTACTCAATCTAAAGTGACTTTGTAGGTTAGGAACAAGAACGCACGCCAATAATAATCTAGCCCATAGAATGAAATAAAAACCCTTTTGCATTCTTAAACTTATATCACAGATCTCGTATTAAGGTAATAATTAAATTTTTCTACGAAAAATAGAAATGTCTTGATGACCGATCAGTGTATAACGTAAATCCGGGAATTTTATAAATAGAATCAAATTAATATGCAAAATTGAGTTATTTACTGACCTGGCACTATCTGTAGATCTCCATATTAGAAGGCTTTAATGGTTCAGGAAAGTATAAAATATAATAATTATTTTTTAAATATTTATAATTTTTCCCTATATAAAATTATAAAATCGCTATATCATTTTTTCCGTACATTAAAAAATTAAAAATTCGAACATATGTTTTATAACAAAGATTACGTAACTGAAATATGTAAAATATCAGGATTCAGCTTGCAATTCGTAGCTTCTATTATATTATAAATAAAATATTAGTAGATTTTGATTATCCTTAATGATCCTTTGGTCTAATTAAACTATTGTCAAGAAGTAAACGCTTTCGAGCTATTCTGCTGTATTATTATTCTTTTCTTCGACATGAAAGATTTGATAGTCTTATTCCAATTTAATTGCCCACATTTGCTAAATAAAATAAGGCGAGTATTACCCAAACTCAGTAAGACACAAATTTAATATACAGCTTATTCTAGTCAATGGTAATAGGATTTTCATAAAGAAATTAAATTGTGTAAATTAAGTAAGTGTTGATATGAATATAATAACAAATTATATAAGAAATAAATAAGTTATTTGAAGATGTTTGATTAAGAAAATATTTTTTTTGCAAAAATGCAGTAAAGATTTAGCTCACGTTAAATTATAGAAAAATTTTAGCCTCATATATGAAGCCCCTTTTTTCATGTTCGTGGACAAAGAAAACAAAGTAAATGCCAGAAATACACAATATTTTGAATAATATACTTCATTTCAATCTTTTAGACTTCGTATATATCCTAAAAAGTGATGATGAATATACCATAAAGGCAGTTTCGTTTCAGAAATTCGAATTCGTATAATATGCGTAAAAGTGACGAATAAATATACCATCATGGCGGTAGTTATCATACATTCGGATTCGTATAATTTTCGTAAATAACGTGTGGAAAATAACGATCAAGAGTCAACAGTAACTTCAGCCTTTTCATTCGTATAAATTTCGTAAAAGTAACGTGCAAAAAATACCATACCCTTATTTCACCAAAATTATACGTATATTTTTGGAGACGTGCTGCATGGGAAGAGTCTGCACTACTTCTGTAATGGAGTGACCCATTCATCGGGTACCAAGCATTTGTCCATGATCAAATCTGCCGAGATCCGTGCTCTTACCCATTTTACTTTCAACTATTACTGATACTGTAAAGCGGCACTTCTAATCTTGTCAAATGCTTTATACATCATTTGCATCTTCCAGGCTTGCACTCAGCTCAAAATTTGTATAACACCAGCTATTCTAAGTTCTGTTGCTCTTCAGTGTACATTTAAACTTTAAACAAAACAACTAAAATATTATATTTTAAACTCCCTAAAATGGGTATAACAAAATTTAATTATTATAGTTAAATTTTCATAAATTCAAAATTAATTAAGCAGATAACTGCTTGGAACAACATAAAATTACATAGAATGTTATTACAGCATAAAAAGTCAATATAAACAAACATTCAATGTAAAAAATAATAATAATAATAAAAAGAACTATCAATCACTGATGACATTCTTAATCTTATTTCCGTATATTGCATATGCAAGCTCTAAAAATACAAATACAATAATCTTGAAATTGGTTACAAAAGATTAAGCATATTAAAATATCTTCACTCCAGTTTTTTTAACAGTGACCTGATGAATATATAAATACATTGCATTTTTTATATGGGTATTTTCAAAGGATTTTAAGTCTTGAAATTTTCAAAATTAATAATAAAAATTTTTATTAACCTGAATATCCATGACAGTTTTTGCAAGAGCAGTTTGTACTATATTTGTTCTATCTAAACAATCAACGCAATTAACACGAAAAACTCCTCGCTGGTTGCAGATAAGGCCCTCACTATCAATCCTGGGAATAAAAGGGAAATAATGATTAAAACTATTGAAATCAACAAAAGAAATTTTTAAAAAATTTATCTGCCTTGATTACTAACGTAATTTAATAATACAAGAAGTACCATTATAAAACTATGGCATTTAAAATTCTATTACACATACAATAAAAACAATACATGAAATAATATATTATTATGCTGATTTTTACAGCATAAACACATACATCGTGCAAACAAAAAGCATCAATATTACGTTAAAAATGGTAACTTAACATAAACACGTTATTGCTGACCACATGCATGTTTCTTCAGCTTTACAAAAGCAGAGTATTCCTGTCAAATTTTTTGAAAGATGAAATGATATGTAGTAAAGGAGAAATTAACACTTATTTACACAGAAAAAAGACTTGTGTTTTAATTTCATATGAACTTATATCTTTAAACCCCAAACCTTTGACAAAAATCTATGAAATCATATCAAACATCTCTTAAGAATTTAAGAAGAAACTATATGCAGTTTCGTCAAAACAGAGAAAAAAGTATTCTGGGAGTCAAAAATGTAGCAGCATGGATTGAGCCTTGAATTATTAGAGTATTTAGCAATGAAAAATAGGACCTACAGTGTAGAACAGACAGGATATAGATGATAGTCATTTGTATCCATGACATCACTATGAGAACAGTTTCATTGCACACTTGATATAATGTTGAAAGTTGAAATTTGCTTCCCTTTTTCTGTTGCGAGAGGCTTATAGTAATATATGTAAAATAGTATGCTTGTCTAGGACTAACACATTTCCTTTCTATAGTATAGCTCTTTGCAAGCAATTAAGACATATGGCAAAAACTGCCTTTAACTTGTATGCTATATAATAATTAACCATATTTTCTAATATGACTGAACAAGAAAAACTGAACCATAATTTCACTTATCATCTTTTTTTTTTTTTTTTTAAATGAAAATACTGTTTTAATTTCGTATACATATAATGCAAAATAAAATAAAATAAAATAAAATAAAAAAACATTTAAAATTCATCACATATTCAATCTGGAATAAATCACATACGAAAAGACAAAAACCAGAAGCACAGTGGGAAACTGTATGAAATCGGAGGGAGCGATATGCCAAAAACAAACATGGAATATGAAATTTACATCTTTTTCTGCATTAACACCAGGGGGTTGATGCGTGACTTTCGAGAGGGAGAAGGCCATGACACTTAATAAACATGGCGGAGCTTTCCGTCCGATGTTATCATCGGAAAGTCATCTGGAATTTTAAATTTTCGTTGGAAATATAACTTTATCATGTTTCTTAGATAATTAAAATAGCTGACAGAAATTTCAGCTATTTCAGCTATTTTTAAGATTTTTACAGATATTTTAATTAACTTTGTGCATAAATATAATTGAAAAAACGGAAAAACAAACGAACATTTTACAAGAATTTAAACTCTGAAAAATTGTCACTGTCATGATAAATTGGGAAGGGTTTCTTAAGATAATATAATATTTTACCTAGGTTCAAGTATAATTTATTCGTTTTCAGAGAAAAATATAACCAACTTCTATATCGCAACGTATTAAATGAAATACTATATAAAGCTAATAAATGTGAAAAAAAATATTTCATACAAGAAACATACCTAAATCTTATAACAAAAAAAGCCTTCCAACATTCAGATTTGAAATAGATACCTAACAAAAACCTTATATTCGTTATTATCATATTAGTGTATGAGGCAATATTTAAAAAAAAAAAAAAAACATAAAAAACTATGCAATGTTTGAAAGTACCAGAAAAAAGTAACAGAACTACATTTCAATTATAAAAAATCATTTAGGTTTTTTAAAAAGCAAGCTGTTAAAGTACAATAATTAGTAGCAATGCTGATGATTTTTAACATCATTCTTTCGATCATGTGTAAATATATTATACCTTGTTTTAGACAATGGCGATTCTCACGGCAATTTTATTTCATTTTTTCAAATCAATAACATTCCTTTGGGTTCTTTCCCTTGGATACTGTGCAGAAATGATTTGAATAATATACACAATAGTAAGAACTGCACTTTTAAATTGGCTCTTCAGTACATAGCACACAACAAAATGTTTTTTCCCATTTATCTTGAATTTTATTGCTATCACAAGCATGTACAAAAATTAACAATGAAAATAGAATGTATTCAAATGTAATAATTAAAAAACATAACTTGCAACATTCGTATTCATACTAAGAGATATACGACAACCCAAAAGAAAAATAATAGAACTGCAATTGCACTTAATGTAAATTTAATTTTTTAATATTAGACTAATATAATTATATATGGATTATATAATATTAATTATGGATATTACTAAATATTACCATAATTCTATTAAAAATGTAATATATGGATTATAATATTTAGTAGTAATGCAAATGTTTCTTAGCACCATTTCTTAATCATATGCGATGTATATACATATTTTCAGCTTCTAAATTATTTGAGATAATGGGATACCATTTATATGCTTTTATTATTTTTTTACTGCAGTCGTGTATTGTTGTTTCTTAGGTTATTCATTTCAAATATGAATGTTGGAAGGCTTTTTTTTATAAGATTTAGTATGTTTCTTGTATGAATATTTTTATCATGTTTTTAGCTAATTTATATATTTCATTACATTCGCTAGAGATAGAATTGATGGTATATATTTTGCTCTGAATGCGAATAAATTAATACTTGAGCCTGGATAAATATTAATTTTATCTTAAGAACCCTTTCCCATTTATCATACAGTAGCAATTTTCCATCAGCGTTTAAATTTTTGTAAAGTGTTAGTTTGTTTTTCGTTCTTTCAATTATATTTATGCACAAAGTTAATGAAAATATCTGTAAAAAGCTTGAAAAGTGTGTATGTATATAAAGCCTATTTCAATTAACTAAGAAACATGGTAAAGTTATATTTCCAACGGAAATTTAAAAATTCAGATGACTTTCCGACGATAACATCGGACGGAAAGCTCCGCCATGTTTATTAAGTGTCATGGCCTTTTCTTCTCGAAGGCATGTGTGATGCAATGAAAGAGTAATAAAATAAATCCATTTTAATCAATAAAGATACAAATTAAAGTTTAAAATTTAAGTTTAGGTTGAAATTAACAGGGCAAAATATCGGAAAATTATAGCTTCAAAAACATAGACAAATTAAAAATAATTACACAAAAATAAATAAATTTATAAAATTATTTGAGAAACTTAAGTTCAAAAAGAAAACTTGCAAAAATAATAATCTGATGCTTGAAAACAATGCCATATGCAAATTTCTTAAATAAAAATTGTATTCATTCATTTTTGTATTTATTCATTCTTGTACTAGCAAGGCCTGTTGCTCACAGTGCACTTTGGCAAAAATTTTCATTTTACAGTATTTATTCATTTTTGTAGTAGCAAGGCCTGCTGCTTATAATGCACTTTGCCAAAAGTTTTTATTTCATTATTACTATTTATTTATTATTTACAAACAACAAAGCTTAAAAAATTTTTTAAAAATGTTTTTCTATTTTTTATTTATTCATTGTTGTATTTACTTATTGCTTTACTAGCAAGGCCTGCTGCTCACACTGCACTTTACCAAAAGATTTATTTTATTTATTAAAACATTATTTATTCATTTTTTTTTATTTTTACTTTATTGCATTAATTCATTTTTGTACCAGCAAGACCTGCTGTCATCATGCACTTTGCCAAATTTCTCTATTTTATTTTATCATATATATTCAACTGTTTTTTACTTTGTATTTTATATATACAGTCAAAAGTCGTTAATTCGAACACCCATAATCCGGAATGATCTATAATCCGGACCTCAAGCTACAAACTTTCTGCGCATGCGTCGTAAGACTTTTTACTCTGCTAATTGCTTGTACGCATGCACGTAATCTTTTCCGCTTGCGCGTTAATGTATAACGGACGTATAAGCTAACTAAAATTATCTATTCAGTTAATGTTGCAGATGCGTTGTTCCTTCATCTTCGAATGGATCCGCGTTTATTTTTTGCAGACTGTTAAAAGCATTTTGTAAAAGTAGCTTGAACTTTCGATTATGTCATAGAATTTCCGAATATGTAAAGGATCTTACAAAGCGAAAGTATGTTTAGAAGTTCATTAAAAAAAAAAATTGGAATTGCTGCAAAAAATGGATAAAGGCATATCCTTCATTTCTCAAACCATTCCAAAATCTGTTTATCAATTTTACGCTGCTCTGCGGCCCGGGAGGGAACATGCCGAAACGCCACGGCGTGCAATGAATTTAAAGGTAATCTGTCAGCACTATCGTTATCTTCAGGGCAGATGTTTTTATTTTATTTGGCTTATAATTCCTTACTAAATATAGTATTTCATCTCGATGTACTCCGTCTTTGATATGATTTAAATCAAATTCCTTGTCATTATAATTCGCTTCCGATAATGTAAAGAGAAAGTATTATCACATAAAACAAAGCAACTTAAACAACTTACATTGAAAAATGTTTATAAGTAAACAAATAAATTTAAGCTTTTTTAAAAAAATTTGATACCCTTTAGATCATAATTGTTCTTTATTTCATAAATTACGGTTTAATATTTTTTATTTTATAATTTCTGCATGCCATCTTACCAGATTTAAACTGATGATCTATAATCAGGAAAAATCGATAATCCGGAATCGCCAAAGTCCCGATGAGTCCGGATTAATGACTTTTGACTGCAACATATTATTTTAATCTTTTGTAAAAGGACATGTTTGTAAAATGAAGGATACCTGATACGTTTTGTGTGTTACCTTTATTTATTAAACATCATATTCTTTGCACTTAAACCATAAAATTCAATTCAATAGCAATATCAAAATAAATAAAAATAAATAAATAAAATAATAATAATAATAATAATAAATAAACCTTGCACATAAAATATCCATGCTTGAAGATGCACGCCAATATTGATGTCAATGTTATCGGAACGCTTTGAAATCGTTGAGTTTGTTAATCAAAAATTCATTAAGGTTTTACAAAATATGAAATAGATAATCAAACAAATTCAAATTTTAGCTTCCAGATGCCCATATTCAAGTAGAGGACTACGTTATTCAAAATTTGATGTCTCTGGGTACCATTCTTTTTTCACAGCGTGAGAAACATACATATATCCATGCAGATTCTTAATTATTTAATTTATTTAAATATAATGCAGGGCTCTAATATTTGGTGGCAACAATTTGAAAAGTGAAATGCTATTTTATAGTGGACAAAACAAAATGCCAAAATGAAATTAATGGCCCTTTTGGGCAAATTGTCCCTCTGGGCTAATAAGCAGCCATTTGTATTGTAAACATAACATAAAATTATTACAATCAACTCTGTGAATTCCACCCAAGAATACAGTGTAATAATTTCTAGTAAATTAAACATTACTAATTGTTTTATAAAACTGAAAATACTGTATTATGACATGAATTATTTAAAACGTGAATGATTTTGAACCACTTGTTATTTAAGTTTTTTCCTTGGTTGCAAAATGAATTTTATACTTAATAAATTAAATGCATATAAATATCAATAAATTAAAATATTAAGGGATGAAAAAAATGTTATTTGTATTGATAGAAAACCTTAAACTATTACTCTTTTGTGCAATAACAACACTAACAAAATAAATGTGCACCAGTCATTAACAAAATCTCATTAATACTTTTATGCAATCTTATTTTAAAAAAATCACAAGAATAAAACTTAAGACTTACCAGCAGTACCTCATATCACGTATAACATCTTGTATGCTGTCAATCAGAACAGATACATTCTCAAACTTCATACCTCGACTAAAGGAAAAGAAAAGGCACTGAAAGTTAAAAAACTATGTACGCATTCTTACATATGCCCATTATAGCATAACAACTTCCTAATAATTTTGTAAGCAGAAAATGAACACATATGCATACTTTCAAACATTTAAAAAATTGTTTCAATAAATTGTTTCAATAACAAATTATGATAAAAAATTAACTTAGTAACTAATACCTACATTCTTCTAATTATAAAAGTAAAAATATAATAAAAAAGTCTGAAAATAGATATGACTAAAATATCTATTGAGCTCAGAGATTTTAAACTGCAATCTTTTACGATGATCATATTCTGCTAAAATAGTTATTTAAAAGTATAGGGGGAAAATTGATAATACAACATAAATAGAGATAAATGTACTTAAAATAATCACTGAAAAATGGGAAACCATTCTATTGCATTATTATTGTTTTGCTACAAAATTACAAAATTTATATATATTTTTAATACATATATTTTTTTCCAATAAAATTAATTTTCAAAACGAATTTTCACAGAACTCATTAAATAGTTCAATTTTTTTTTAACTACAGTATGGTTTTATAAAGTACTGAAAGAATTATTCATTTTCTAAAAAAACAATTCAATAATTATAACATCTGTTTTCAGCTTCTTTTTCAGACTAATTCTACACTAAAATTCAGTTAAAAAGACGTAGCAATTGTTAAATATTTCTTGCAATTATTTTTCAACCAATACCCATAACTCGCACAATAATATGACAGAGAGAACACTAATAAAATAATCAAATCAAACTTCAAATAAAATGGTTTGGGATAACAAATACTCTGTGAGTAATAAAAGCATTGAATATTAGCATAATTAGCAATTTCATTATATATATTTGAAACAAAAAAAAAAGTCAATCACAATTCATGAATGGCTACAAACTTTACAAGAATTTAAAAAGGTAATGAAAATAAATTTAAAAAAAAAAAAAAAAAAACAGTTGCTACAAACTGGAAGTTCAGAAAGAAAAATTTAACTTTCAACTTTAACCAAGATCATTCAGGATATTATTCTTACTTAACAACTACAAGCAATAAATATCTTTTCTGATAAGCTAGAAGTTTCTGCATAGTGCAGGGGGGGGGAGATAATGATAAAATCTACTTAGTCATTCTCAAACATTGAATATGTCATATAATTCATATGAATAATAATATGAATTATATCATATAATTCCCAAACATGTCAACTTCATTCAATGAAACTTTACAATTTTCAGTTTCGAGGGTAAGACTGAAATAAGCTTTGAATTTGGCTATATTTACATAACCCAAGAATGAAACTATAAGAAATTTTAAGCAGTTCATCTGAAAGGGATGATTATGGGGAAAAAATTGTTTAATGGTTTTATTAATCTGAGTATTAGCAGACTGATTCTACTTGAAAGTATGAAAAACAATGGATATGCAACTTAAAATTACAATTAATTAGCTACATATCATTTTATTACTAGAATACAATTTAATAACTAATTGAAGCAGTTGAATTCAAAATAATCACAAAGTTCTTTAGATAGATTAATGTACAGAATTAAATTTAATTCATTTCTATACAAAGATTGCTTGGCTATTAGCTTTGCTTAAGCCATAGAAATCATTAGTAATAAAATTTACATTATCAGATTTCTTTTTCAAAAATAAAATAAACTAAAATAAGATATCTGATACTTACCAATATTCATGAAAATCAAAGCTAACATATATGAGATTTGGACAGCTGTACTCTAATATATGATTTAAATATGCATCATTAATTACTTTCTCCTTTCCAGTTTGCTCCATGAGATTGATTATGACTTGTGAATTATAAATACTAAGTTCCTCAGCAAAATGCTTTTCAAATGCAATTTGAGTTTCTTCTTCACCTACATACAAAGAATATAAATACAGTCATATTAAAAATAAATCAATACATTAGAAAAATATTATACATTCTGAAACTTTTATAATATTAAAGCTGATTTTAAAATGAATTATTACTTTAACAGAAAGAATAGTTATTCATAAATAACATTTGTACCTTAAGTATGAGAAAATAATCGTATACAGATTAAAATGCATTTAACTTACAAATATTAGTAGTCTTGTTAATGACTATACTTTTTATATTAGAAAATAATTATTTTCAAATTATCATTATCAAAGTATTGTTAAATCTTCCAATATATAATCTTGCAGTCAACTACTGAAAGAGAAACTGTTACATGAAAGGAGTAGAGATTTTGATCAAATTAAAAAATATTTAACAGGTAGTGCACAAATTAAATAATTATAATTTGGATTTCTTTCTAAAAATATTTGATCATGAGAACAGCAAAATTCAATGTGTTATGTGCCATTTTATGGCACTAATATACTTTTTCCCTCTGACAACCACAGCAGCAAACACAAACTTTGAATAACTTGAGAATATTTCTCCATGCTTCCATGACCTGCTTGTTCTATTTCTGTATAGTCCACATTTTAAAATTTATGCTTTTAAACATGTGCCAAATATGCTCTGTATGAGATAAGTCAGCTAATTTATGGTAAGCAATGCTTGCAAGATATCTCTAATTACAGCAGAAGTTAAGATCAAGTTGTTAGTTACAAAATTAAATTTTAAACTGTAAAAATGAAAGTTATCCCTCACTGATATTATAATCTTATTCTTCTAGTTTACAAAAGCAATACTGAAAAATTGTAAACATTCCCATTCTAGCAATGCTTACAATTTTTTTTTTTTTTTTTTTCAATATGTACATAAATTACAAAACATTTGATCACAAAGATGTTCAGCTTCATTGCTCCATATAATATAGTTTTCTGGACTAGGTACCATTGTGATATTTACAAGTAACCTATATAAATGGATATGATTTTTCATTCTATTTTTTGAGATATGGTGTACTTTTTGTGAAAGATACACTAAAATATATAGCTTACAAGGATAAAGATTAAAATATTCACAATACACAGTAATAAAAGTCCTACAAGGAATTTGCCTCTCCATACTTAGAAGACACACTGCAAAATTTTATAAGCATTAAATATTTAATTATAAGAATGTTATATCAACAGCTTAGAAGAAAACAGTACAAATTTTATAAAAGTTAAATATTTAATTATAACAATATTATATAAATAGCTTGTCTCCATATACATATAGGAGAAAAAACTTGAACAACAAAACTTTTTTTTTTTTTTTTTTTTTTTTACTTTGAAGAGAAGCAGTACAAAATAAGAACAAAAAAAGTTATTAAAAAATCATTCATAATGTGCTTGTGTTTCTGAATCATGATATTGAAGATGTATTTGTGTGTTTCATCCAAATTTAATAGATTATAAAAATCAAGTAATAATAAATAATACATGGAAGTTGGTTTATTAGCTGATTATGGCAGAACACTAAAAGGAGAGAGATGTATTTACAGAGAACTCAATTTTTCTGTACAGAATTCCATTCCTCCATAGAGATATTTATGTCATACTTGGACTAAACCTCAAAAGTACTCATGCAGCCAGTTCATTCACTATGGTTATAAACCAGGTTTAATTAGCAAAATTTTAGTTCTAGCCGCTAGTACGCATGCAGAAGAGATCCATGCCAATTTAATCTGGCTTCACCATGGGGGAGGGAATCTATTTATTTTTTGCTTTCCTTTCAATTCTGGTATGAATTTCTAAAAATTTTTACAAGTTCTTTCTGAAAAGCTTATATGGCCATTCAGGTGATTTTATTAAATAGAATGCAATTTCACCACTCAACCAAAGGCAAAATAAAGTTCATGAGTTTGAATGAGGCGATTTTACTACAGCAGAAAGTCAAGGTGGTCGTAAACATAAAGTTCATAATCTGAGAAGATACAGTCGTAAAAACACTGCAGTAGCATAAATTCAGTAAGAGGGTTAATTGGATTCATTTATAGTAGTAGCTAGGATTCCTTTATAGTAGTAAATAAATAAGTTCTTTTATCTTGAATCCAAAATATTTAAGTAAACTGAGATAATTCGAAATGAACTATTTTTGGTTGTCACGTGATGATATCAGGTGAATTGAAATTTTGAGCCACTGTGGTATGCGTGGTCAATTTATAATTAGCATAAATACACTTAATGATAATAAAACGAGATAGTAAAATTGAAATAAAATGTAATAATTATTTTAATATCATTAGAGTACTAAGCCTGTTCTACCAGGCACTAAAGTCCATTAAGCTTTGCCAGTAATAAAATGATAAGTAAACATAATTTGGGAGTATAAAAATTAGCAAAGTCCATTCATTCCTGATTTGCCTGCAAAAACAAAGTCCATGTCACTTTGTCAAAAATATATACATATTTACAATCACCACTTGGCATTGTGGTGAATTTAAGTAGGTCTTTTTACCACACTTTCCACTGTTGGGTCGTAATTCACTGTTTCACATAATGTGCTGTAGGATGAATTTTGCAATCTTTCAAAAACATTGTGTGCTTCCATTAGAATTTGCTCCGGAATAGGCTTGATGTTAAAGTTTGCATGGATAATTGCATTTCACACAAACCAAGGGACATTCATCATGGCTCAGAGTATTCTACTTGTATTTTGTAGAGCTGTAATTTTTCTTCTTCCAACTTTAATAGCAATGGCCCAAGCAGGGGCTGTGTATAGTAGAATCGGATGGATTAAAGTAAAACAAAGCATTCTTTTCACTCTGATGTTGAGTCTGAATTTTCTTCCTAGCAAATTGTATAGGGCCATGAAGGCTCCATTAGCTTCGTTTACTTGATAAATAACGTGATCTTTGAAGGAAAGGTGGTTCTCTAAGATGACACTCAAATATTTTACAAAACTGGAAACCAGAATAACTTTGTTGAAGACTTTTATTTCAGAGTTCTTATAACAGTATTATATATAATAATATTTATTTCAGAGTTATTATATATTTCAGAGTTTATTTCAGAGCACATATATCTTCGATATCATCTGATTTGAACTATACTGCATTTTGATGAATTTATTTTTATTTTCCAAAGTTGACACCAGAAGGAGACAATGCTGACATCTAACTGCAAGTTGTCTAGGGCGATCTGGTTGTTTTTAGATTTGAAAAGAATAAATTTATCATCTCCATATTTGAGAATCTTTGAATTTAATGGATTAGGCAAGTCGTTAATATATAACTTAAATAATTTTGAAACAATGATCGAGACCTGAGGGATGGTACTTTGAATTATTTTCTTTTGAGAGAGGGAATTTCCAACTCATATACCTGGAAAGTTCTTCTCTTAAGGAATGAAATTATAAGTTTGATAAAACTGATTGGTAATCTAACTTATAAGATGTGTTAATTGATTCTTTATATAATCTTTCGTCAATGCTAGAGCTCTGATCAGCATATGTCACATGATAACTCATTACTCAGAAATAGATATCACTAATATTCTCACTAATCAACTTGAAGAAACTTTTAAACCAAATCCCTCAAATGACTTACAGCACAAAGAAGTTATGCAGTTTGTAAATTACGCAATCATGCCATACTTTGTCGATAAGTGGTGACTCCGGCTTTATGGAAAAGGGATTAGAAATATATTCCACTAGATTTACAACTTGGCAAGTCATACTATGACCTTTATCTATTAGATCTAGATGTTACAGGTTTTCAGTTAATCTTTGATTCAGAACTCATTTAAAGCTTTACCGATTGCTGACAGGAGACTAATTGGTCTATAGCTTGAAGTTTCATATGGATTTTTTTCTAGTTTTAAGATCATAATTATTATAGAGTGCTCCCAGTGTTGCGGATAATAGCAGCTTCTTATACAGGCATTAAATATGTTAGCTAAAAGAATGAGACATCTTGAGGGAAGAGCTTTTAGTGATTGGTTGTTAATTCCAACATAATCGTGAGCTTTCTTAACTTTAAGTTTCTTGATAAATTTCCGTCCTTTGCCAGTGGAGATAAAAGGAATGAAATTTGAGTTTTCTCTTGATTTAACCCCTTCGCGCCGACTGTCACGTATATGTGCCAACAACGAACACACTTATCTACCGGTCAACACGCAGGCGTGCCAGAGCATTTTTGCGGTTACTACCAACTGTCACGTATTTGTGCCAGTACCCTGGAACGTTTTTCAAACTATAATTTCTGCCACAAGATGGCACTGCATGTCCATATGGTTTCAGATACATGTACATTAGACCTTCTACTCGAATGAGAGAAGCATGACTCACATACACGTGTTTTTGATTATATAAACAAACGGGGAACTAAATGTTTCCGAATGGCATGATTTATGATGTCTCTTTAAATCGCACTTTATTCGCATGTGGTAGTTGTTTATTGTAAGTTTTATATGCGCTAAAGCGTTGAGTATTTCGGTTTACAGTTCAGTTTTTAGAAAATAATTAGATCTTGTTAGACATGAATTCTTTCTATTTTACCGTTTCAATGTCGAAGCATCGAAAATGTTTAACAGAGCATGAAATAGCAGAAATGATGCAAAATATTTCAGATATTGATTCTGAAATTCTGATATTCTGATATTGATTCAGAAAGATTAACTGAAAGACATTTTCCAAAACTTTGTTCAGAAGAGACTGATAAGAAAATGAGACGACGATGCTTCGTTCGTTCACATTTCCGGAAAAATCCTCCAAAACGGCAAATGAGTTATTACGAGTTCCAGGAATGTAACGTAGGACTGTGTGTAGATCCCTGTTTTCAAATTTTTCATACGAAAAGAGAATTTTAAGTAATATATTTAGTTTTCAGATGTATAATGTTAAAGTCATAAAATGGTGAGTAATTAAAATAAAATGTGTAAAATATGCATTTAAACAAGAAATAAGGTAATTAAAGTATATATATAAAAATATCTATAAAGCATAAGCCATTTAAATACTCTATAGAGCATTATTAAACAATGCGTTGATACTTCGGAAATTTCATGGATTTTGGCTTAGTAGCAAAAACGCCCCCGGCCCTGGAGAGACGCTCGCGGAAGACACTGCCGGCCTCCGCGATAAGCGCGCGTTTTCGCTACCCGGCTCGAAGGGGTTAACAATATTTACAAGTATTTTCGACTTTTTTTGTGCAAGTTTTTTTTTTTCTTCCCCTCCCTCATTTGGGGGGGGGGGGTTTGGTTTAAAAATTTCTTCAAGTTGATTAGTGAGGATATTAGTGATATCTATTTCTGAGTAATAAGTTGTTATCATGTGACATATGCTGATCAGAGCTCTACCATTGACCAAAGATTATATAAAGAATCAATTAACACATCTTATAAGTTAGATTTATATTTCCTATATTCTAAGTAGTAGATTTACAGGTAAGAAAAACAGAAATTGTTGTTTAAAAGATACATAAATAATGCTTTAATGTAACTATCTATAACCAAGTTTATATACTTTACATTGCTAAATCATTCGTCTGTCAGTACGTGTTTAAATTAATACAATTTTACAAAACACTGCAGATGTTATAAACAATACTAATATTACTCATAAAAAGCTTTTGTCAATAGATTTGTATGCATTTTACATTAGCAAATGATAAAATAGACTAGTATTTACAGACACCTACATTACTGATTTAATTTTTCCAATACATTGCATAGTTTATCTGCGAGTTTTTAAAACCACAGATATTTTCTAATATATAGAGAGAAATAAAGTTCAATTCAAATCTATATTGTTTGAGGGCTAACCATATTTATTTTCTACAGAGAAAGAATGTCCTTATGCACCTTTGTCAAGCTGAGGTGGAGGTCTATATTTATATCCTGGTTGACTCCAAAATACTGGAACCGAGCCTCGCACTTGTACAAAAGAAACAACATGGGAAGAATATTCAAATATCTGTTCTGTCTCAACATAATTAGCACATTTTCCTGATTCATCAACTCCTCTGCGTTTGTAACGGGTTCCGGCTCGATGCCGACTCCTTCGAGAAATTAGAATCATGGTATAATTTTTACCAATACATTCTGGTAAATGAGCAGGTGGCTGAAAAAACCTTGCTCCTTCAGCAGAGAGAGATTCTGCATCGTCAACTGTATCAATCCAGCACTGCTCAATTTGTACAAAACCTTGGATAACAGGCACTATCCAAGGATCGCATAAAGGATCCTAAAAATTTAAAAAAGAATTTAAGATACAGTTGAATTCAAGTATTTAAATTTTATACAATTCAATTGAAATTCAAAAATATACAAAAAATGTTATAAAACTAATATTGTTTTCACAGTATTACAAAACTTGAAATTATGTAGGCTGATTAAAAAGTCTTGAAACATTCTTTTATTCAGAAATCAGGTAATTTCTACTCTACAGGCCTATTTTCTCCTCCCCCCCCCAGTTTGAATTTTTGAATTACACTTTTCATAGCATTTTATAAAATTCAAAAACATGAAATAGACAATTTTGTGACCTCCTTTTTAGCACTGTAGTTGTGGTATTTTTTACTTCATCTGAAGAGAATCCTCTTTACACCTGATTGCCTGTACAATGCTGAGAACACCTAGAAATCCTATGTCAGAACACCTAGAAACCATATGTCAGAAAAACTATATCTAATTTTATAAACTGATTTTAAATAGCACAACTGATGCCAGTAAATGCTGCCAGACATCATCCTGGAAAAGAACCACTATTTTAGACACAAATCTGGTCTTTTCTCCCTTATGGTTCCATGAAAATAATTTTCAATATGTTTACATAACAGTCACTGTTCACTACCTGCTCATATATGGATATATACACATAGTGGATAATGTTACTGCATGTATGGATATATACACATAGTGGATAACCTAAAAGAATAATATGATATGGAATAATATCCATTCCATAATGGATAGCTAATCGAATCATATATTATTATAATAATACCAATGAATCATATACAGTACAAAGTCCAAGATCCGGACATCCAGTAACTGGAATGGTCTAAAATCCGGACCTCAAAGCCACCACCAACATTTTTTGTGTGTGTGTGTGTGTGCTTCATGTATGAGCATTTGATTCCCCCTGTGCATAATATAACATGTGAAGAATCCTAATTTTTAATTTCACTTCCCCACTTAATAAAATACTTCGTTATTGAAGAAATAATCATTTTAGCATAAATTTGTATGATCAATAATTTGGCTCCATAGCTGCGTATTTTCTACATAGACACATCGTTGATTTTACACCTACTAATATTTTATATCCCTGACGTTAACCTGGCGAATCATTATTTATTATATTTTGCTTTCATCACGTCATGTTTATCAACAGATGACAACTTGAGTAATGACTCATGTAGTAATGCATAAACAATTTTTTTATGTTAGTAATTTAAGAAAGAGTATGGTAACCTTTTATATTGGCATTATGCTTGGCAATGATTACAGATTTAAGTTAAATGCACAAAGAAATGTTGACAGGAAAATTTTAACAAAACTTTCTTTCCATAGGCTAAAAACAGATTTTGTTAATGATACTCATTGGCCAAAACATTACATTTAATGCTATTTAAATTAAGAATAACTGATTTGTTTTTCAAACCCAGAACCAGCCCCAGAGCTCATACGGCCACACCGAGCAGCAAAGTTTAGGAAAGACATAGGGAGGTGCTTTGTAGCAGAATTTAGGACCCGCAGAGACTGCATCAGGCAATAAGATTTCTAGCACCGGCTCTCAATAAGCCTTCAGTATATGTGGGAATTTATTTTTTCAGGACCCAGATATGCCTTAAGCTTGTGCAAGGAATAGACATAAGTAAAATAAATAACTAAACTAATACAATTCGGGCTTAAACTGTCTTAGTGCATGATAGAAGTAAGATAAAATTTAGCGGAGCAACTTGCCTTTAGTCGCCAATCTCATGATACATAGCCAAATATGTACAGTGAACGACAGCTAAATTTTATGATGATAGCCTCGAATCTGAAGGTTTTCAGACATCAGAAACCAAAGGTGAAATTTTCTAAATAATGGATTTTGTAAAGAAATGTGGAGAACCAGGAATAACTAAAGATGATATAAAAGAAGGTTTTATTGTGATGACAATGCTCCTCAATCATCAATCAACAAATGGCGAAATCTGTAGTATCGTTCTAAATCCAGAAAATACCGCTACTGATAGTAAAGAAAATGACAGAGAGGTTATCAACAATGGAACTTTGTAACTGAACAAGAAATTATGTCTGTCTATAGAATTAAAGAAAAAGTATTAGCACAAAAAACAAAGCAACTTAAACAACTTGAAAGAAATGTTTAGTAAAGTAAACAAGTTTTTCCCCCCCCCTAAATTTTTAGCATATGGAATGTTTAAGTAATTTTAAGCTTTTTTTCCTAAATTTTGATACCCTTTAGATCATAAATGCTTCATTATTTCATAAATCATGATTTCATATTTTTAATTTATTTCATAAATCATGATTTCATATTTTTTATTTTATTATCTCCGCATGACATCTTACTAGATTTAAAATGATGATCTAATATCTGGAAAAATCCCAAATCCAGCATCACGGAAGTCTCGACGGGTCCAGATCTCGGACTTTTGATTCCCCCGCCTTTGCATACTGTATCATCATAATATTATAATACAGACACACCGGACAAAGGACCTCCATCACAAGTCCTCAATATATGGGACCCATTCAGAGTTTGGGGTATCCAACGTCTGTGGGATCTCGTTCTCGTGGGCGCAACCCCCGCTGTCTGTACCCGGCTTTTACTAAGCATTGGGCAGAACAGTAATGTTGCGAAGTTAATACGTTGTCACCTTGCCTCCGGGCACCACTCCATTGGCAAAACCACATTGTAAAAAGGTGCTCTGTCCGCTTTGTCAGTCCCCGCCACGAGAACTGAATGGAGTCAAACCAGTCGACACATCTTCCATATAGCTCCAGCACAGCTGAAGGAACAGACATGACAGTACCAGTACGGTCCCTGCCAAGCCTGAACCAATCTGAGTACAATACTCGGGCTCTAGTCCTGTGAAGTCAAATTATATACCCCCTTGGTTGAGACTGCCTAGGTACAGATCCTAACCAGCACTTCCCATGCGTTCGCCTGAGTCAACCCCCCCCCCGGGGGGAATATTATAATAAAGTCCAAAGTCCAAAATCTGAACGTCCATTATCCGGAATGATCTAAAATCCAGACGTCAAAACCACCAACAATTTTTTTCTCGTTGGCTTTATGCATGCGAATTTGATTCCCCCCCCTTTGCATAATAAAGTATCTGGAGAGTCCCGATTCTTAATTTCACTTCAACACTACATAAAATACCTTGTTATTGAAGAAATAATCATTTTAGCATAAATTTCTATGATCAGTAATTTGGCTACATTGCATATCTGCTTGGCACACATCTCAAACCAAAACATTCCACATAGATACATCGTTGATCTGATGCCAACCTGGCGAATCATTATTTATTATACTTTCCTTTCATTACCGCATGTTTATCAAAACATGACACTTGGGTAATGACTCATGTAGCGATGCCAAAATATTTTTTATGTTAGTAATTGAATAATAAAGGAGTATGGCAACCTTTTATGTTGACATTACGCTTGGCGATGATTACAGATTTAAGTTAAATGTGCTAAAAAATGTTAACGAGGAAATATTTACCCGAAATTTCTTTCCATATGCTAAAAATAGATTTTGTTGATGACACTCATAGACCCAAAGATTACATTTAAGGCTATTTGAATTAAGAATAACTGATTTGTTATTCACATAAACCCAAAACCAGCATCAGGGCTTTTATGGCCGCACTGAGTTGCAGAATTTTAGACCCACAGAGACTGCATCGGGCGATAAGATATCTAGCGCCGGCCCTCAATAAGGCTTAAGTATATGTGAGAATTTATTTATTCAGAACTCTGATAAGCCTTAAGCATGTGCAAGAAATAGACATAAATATAATAAATAAATAAACTAATACAATTCATGCTTAATTGTCTCAGTGCACAATAGAAGCAAGATAAAATTTAACGGAACAACTTGTCGTTAGTTGCTAAGCTCATGATACATAGCCCAATATGCATATGAAGGATAGCTAAATTTGATGATGATAGCCGCTAATTTTAAAGATTTTTGGATATCGCAAAACAAACGTTAAATTTTCCACTTAACGGATTTTGTAAAGGAAATGTGGAGAAGTGGTAATAAATGAAGATGATATAAAAGAAGATTCTTCAGTTGTGATGACAATTCTTGTCCAAATCAATCAATCAATTAATTACGGCGAATCTTGTAGTATGGTTCTAGATCAATAAAATTCTGCTACCGATAGTGAAGAAAGTGACATAGACATTGCTTGAAAACGAAAACAATTTCAATTGATAAGTTAGTCGACAATTCTCGAAACAGCAATTACAGGACTTGAACAATGGAACTTCGTAACTGAACACAAGAGATTATGACTGTCTTTATAATTACTGAATTAAAGAGAAAGTATATTAGCACAAAAAATGAACGCAAGCTTAAACAGCTTACATCGAAAGAAGTGTTTAATAAGCTAAACAAATATTAAGCTTTTTTTTTTTTTTTTTTTTGTGTAAATTTTGATATCCTTTCAGATCATAAATACTTCATTATTTCATAAATCCACGATTTCAATATTTTTAATTTTATATTTTTCTACATGACTATCGGACCAGATTTAAACTTGATGATATAATATCCGGAAAAGTCCCACAATCTCTGATCGCTGAAGTCCCCGGACGAAGTCTGGATTTCGGACTTTGTACTATATATGCTTCATTGATTAATGATGTGCTACTACAATGTAGTGCCCCTAAAACTGAAATACTGAGGCATTTACTTCATTAATATATGTGTACTGAAAAGTTTCAGATGTTGTATTATGGTTTCCCTCCTTCCCTCAAACCTGACACAAAAATTCAACAACACATCTGCTGAATAATCATAGAAATGTCTTCCTACAACCAAAAACGTTTTGGATAATCAGTAACTGTGAACAAATATTGAAGACACTAGTTGGCCAACTGCAGATTTTAAATGTCTTCTAGTGTAACCTTTAAAAAACTTTGTATAGGTTTGGCACCTCGAATATCAAAAAAGGGAACCAGAGGTAGTTCCAAAATTTCTCTAAAGATGTATTTTGTTTCAATTCTCTTTCTTAATCACACGCAAATGTTGCCTTGATAATTAATATGTATAATTATTCAAAAATGGCAAACATGAATTTAAAATAATTATAGCTGATAGATTACAAATAAAACAAAATATTTTATAATACTTTCTGACAGGCTAGAATGCCATTAAAAACACATGTATTACACACATATTCTTTCTGTCATTAGATGCATTTCAATAATTAATAATTAATACCATATTAAAATATTGTAACAAATTACTTAATCATTGGGACAAACTAATATTCATGCCAATGCATGAATATTAATAAAAAGAATTAACAGATTACTTTAAAAAATATTTGTGCCTTTTATACTTCAGAATCTCACTCAAATACTACTCAAGAATATGTATCCCTCAAAGAAGACTTTGTTCCATTTAATATATTACCTTGTTTTTATAAAAAACAAACTTTACAATTAATTCAGATTGAACAAGGTAATATATTAAATGGAACAAAGTCTTCTTTGAGGGATACATATTCTTGAGTAGTATTTGAGTGAGATTCTGAAGTATAAAAGGCACAAATATTTTTTAAAGTAATCTGTTAATTCTTTTTATTAATATTCATGCATTGGCATGAATATTAGTTTGTCCCAATGATTAAGTAATTTGTTACAATATTTTAATATGGTATTAATTATTAATTATTGAAATGCATCTAATGACAGAAAGAATATGTGTGTAATACATGTGTTTTTAATGGCATTCTAGCCTGTCAGAAAGTATTATAAAATATTTTGTTTTATTTGTAATCTATCAGCTATAATTATTTAAATTCATGTTTGCCATTTTTGAATAATTATACATATTAATTATCAAGGCAACATTTGCGTGTGATTAAGAAAGAGAATTGAAACAAAATACATCTTTAGAGAAATTTTGGAACTACCTCTGGTTCCCTTTTTTGATATTCGAGGTGCCAAACCTATACAAAGTTTTTTAAAGGTTACACTAGAAGACATTTAAATCTGCAGTTGGCCAACTAGTGTCTTCAATATTTGTTCACAGTTACTGATTATCCAAAACGTTTTTTGGTGTAGGAAGACATTTCTATGATTATTCAGCAGATGTGTTGTTGAATTTTGTGTCAGGTTTGAGGGAAACCATAATACAACATCTGAAACTTTTCAGTACACATATATTAATGAAGTAAATGCCTCAGTATTTCAGTTTTAGGGGCACTACATTGTAGTAGCACATCATTAATCAATGAAGCATATATAGTACAAAGTCCGAAATCCAGACTCGTCGGGACTTCGGCGATTCCGGATGTGGGATTTTTCCGGATATTATATCATCAGTTTAAATCTGGTCCGATAGCATGTAGAAATTATAAAATTAAAAATATGAAATCGTGATTTATGAAATAATGAAGTATTTATGATCTGAAGGATATCAAAATTTACAAAAAAAAAAAAAAAAAAAAAGCTTAATATTTGTTTAGCTTATTAAACACTTCTTTCGATGTAAGCTGTTTAAGTTGCTTCATTTTTTGTGCTAATACTTTCTCTTTAATTCAGTAATTATAAAGACAGACAGTCATAATCTCTTGTTTAGTTACATTGTTGAAGTCCTGTAACTGCTGTTTCGAGAATTTCGACTAACTTATCAATTGAAATGTTTTCGTTTTCAGCAATGTCTATGTCACTTTCTTCACTATCGGTAGCAGATTTTATTGATCTAGAACCATACTACAGATTGATTAATTAATTGATTGTTGATTGACAAGAATTGTCATCACACTGAAGAACTTCTTTTATATCATCTTCATTTATTACCACTTCTCCACAGTTCTTTACAAAATCCGTTAATTGGAAAATTTAACGTTTGTTTTGCGATATCCAAAAATCTTTAAAATTAGCGGCTATCATCATCAAATTTAGCTATCCTTCATATGCATATTGGGCTATGTATCATGAGCTTAGGAAATTGTTTTCTTATGAGGATAAGCTCCAAACCTACTTGAAATGTGTCTGATAATTATCTACTAAAATAATTGAATAACATCAACTGACATTCTTTACAGTTCATTGATCAACCAGAGGCCTTTACCACTACTGATACCTTGATCAATATCTCAACCACTAAGACTTTTAACCTATTAACATATCAATTTTTCACAATAAGCATTCTTCAGATTCCATTCACATTTATAAATTTCTATATACAATACATAAATGAAAATTCACATTTTTGTTACATTAAAATTTTTTAAGAAATCACAGATACTATTAAAAATTCTCAATTTTTAAATAATTATAGCTGATAGATGCTTGTGATGCTTGATTCAAATTTCAAATCTACAAAGAGTTGAAAATATTGAAAAATTAACAAAGATCAAAAGTTTATTAATATCGACACATGCAAGGTTTTTCAGACTTCATATGAATATGATACATGTGTAACTATATTTAAAATATGAGAAATTAAATAATAATCTGAATACATCATTGGTTGATGTTCATATAACTTCTTTCAATATAGCCATTCACATTTATAATATAGTCCATAGAAGTTTATGAAATACAATATGAAAACATTACAAGTTTTATGAACTATAGTATGAAAACATCATGAACTTTAGCATGAAAACATCATACAAACATTATGCATATGATTTTAATTCAAAGGATAAAATTATTTACTGAAGTTTACCCATGAATAAAATTCCTTTTACTAAATGATTATTATTATATGTATCACTTATAGACTTTAGTATTCTTACCTGCGTGTTGATTAATTCTGATAACATATACTTGTTCCAAAAAAATCTGTCATCAACTTTTTTCCATAAAGGCAGTGTTGCATAATCTGAATTTTTTGACTGATAATACTGTCTTTGAACTGAATTAGTTACATCACCAGTATATGAATAATAGAATGAATCTGTATCTGTAAACATTTTGGTAAATTCCTGCAAAAAAAAAAAAAAAAAAGATATTGAAAATTAAGAAATTTAATTAAATTACAGATCTCACATTTTCACAGTAAATCTAGAAGATAATCCCCAGCTATACTGCTAAACCTGATTTATATGCAATGTCCAGAATTTTACGAAAGCTGTACCTTATGGCATTATCGATAGGTTTTTCATTACTCTCATAGAGACAAAATTTTCGCTACGGATAACTATTCTTATACAAGTTAATAAAAGAAATTTTTCATTATAATCTTGTATAAGAATTCAATTAATTACATTAAGCAAAACATTTCTGAATATAAAGGAAGTAAAAGAAATAAAAAAAAATATATAATCTACTAGATCAAAAATATACTAGAAAAGGAATTTTAGGTTTTGACTCCTAGGAGATAATACAATTTTCCTTGCAAAATAAAAATGAGATTAGTAATTAATTTAATTAAATACTTATATTAATCAAAATAACTGTCAGACAAATTACTTCATATTACGGTCAAAAAATTATATCTTTGGCTGATTAAATTTTAAGAGCTATTTATAGTCATTACTGAATGGTTTTAAATACACATTTTTTTTCTAGCCCTGATATGAAATAATCAGATTTTATTTCTTAAGAGATGTTCATTACCTGTCAAAGTAATGATCCCTGCTTACCCTTAGTAATGCATTATAATGCTATAATTCTGTTTAGGAAAGCTCAATAACATAAAATAGATCTGTCAAGAACTAAATGCAGTGGCTGTATGCTTTAGATATTATAGACACAATTTGCATGTGTACTACAAGCAAATAAATTATAAGTTACACATAACAGTCATACACAATAATACTGTCAATTATTTGTGTGTGGCTGCCCTATCACATTTAAGTCATCTAAATACTTTTGAAAAAACTATAGTTATGCAAGTGAATTTCAATAATAAAGTGACCATGCCAACAGCAGCTCTAATGATAAAATTCCAGTATGTTTTACCCCTGTCCCACACATACTCTCTAATATAATGAAAAATTTCATTCAAAGATTAAATGATATGATATAACATTCAATTTAACAAAGTTCACCACGCATAAAATCACAAAGCATATTCCAGTGTAGATTTCCTAACAATCACAAAAATTTATTTCAGAGAAATAGCTTTTGATATTATTCTTTATTGGAATAGCTTAGCTTTTGAAAAAGTACATTACAAAATGTCAGATGGTTTTATCTTGAGGTACAGTGCCTTGTCAGAGCTACCATATTTACATACTTATATGAACAGCATTGAACGTCTTCTATTTACATTTTTTTTTCCTGTGAAATGTTGCTTCCTCACAATTAGGAGTGCTTTGTACTCTTAACATTCTAGTTTATAAGTTTTCATTCTAAGTCTCACAAAGTACTTGAACTTATGGAAACAAACATAAAATATACAAACACAAAATAAGAGAAGTCACCATCCAGTGGGATTCATCCAACAGCCCTTTCCTTGGATTACAGCTTATTAACATAATTTTCAGTAGTAACAGGCTCTGTTACAAAATTGCAGTATCAAATGTTTGCCTCTCTTCCCTACAGACTCCTCCATAACCTGTCTATGGATCAACTGTAGATTTCTGAGAGCTAGTTTTAATAATATGAAGCCACAGGAATCCACTAGCCCTGCACTGAGTTCTTTTACTAGTAAGGTGGAAAATTTAAAGTATCCAGTACCAGCTACATGGCCCATGCTCCAAGCAAGAAATAACATGAGTGGTAACAACTTGCTCACTTCACTTGGGAAATAATAACCTTGCTGGCAGTTTTAGTGCAGATGGATGGGATATCAATCCAATAAAATGGTTCTAAAATTTCATTCCAATAATAAAACTGCATTTAAAAAAATTACCCTTTATCCTGAAAAAAGGAAGTTTCCACTGTAGCACTACCCTCCCATTATAATGAGTTTGCTTACTAAATATTTTTAACATTTATCCACCCACTCATTTTACTCTCTCTCCTCTGAAAATGTAAAGACATCACTTTAAGTTTGACAAAGGTCGAAAGGCAGATATAAACCTTATCCAGTGTCACTAAATATTATCTGGCATTTACTTCTCCTTCCACTCTGTCATGGTCCTTTCCAATAATTAATACACTTTAATTTTAAGAAACTCTTTCATATTCAAATTGTACCTGCTGCTTTTGGTACTTTCACATGATTTGCAGTTACCTTATACACTGAGGAACTTGCCAAGTTCATCACTTTGCTGATGATGACAGCTGAATATTTGAGAGGAAGGGGTAAAGTGTTGTTTTTGAGTCCTTCCTGAGGATCCAGTTTCTTTGGGATGATAATAGTACTGCTTTTTAATATATTCCTATACTATCTCAATTATAATTTCATTTAACTGTATCTAACATCAGAAAAGATACAAATATTTCCTTACCAAAAAGGGAATACTTCTCGCAGTCTTAAATACCAAACTTATGTCCAATAGCCTGAATGATTCTACACAATAACACCCCTCAGCGATTTTGTCCACAGTAGTAATACTATTACCAAATGGTTTAAAACTTGCTACAATGACCATCAAATGGCTATATGTGTACATATGTGTGGAGTAAGTCTAAAAGCTCTTGGCAAATTTAAGCAGTATATAGAGATGGGGTCAGAACACAATAATTTGAAACATAAGCTTATGGTTCCCAAAGTAATTCTGAAGTAATAAAAGTCTCTTTTAGATTGCAACACAGTATGTTACAGAACTATAAGTAATTACACAGTTCAAAGAGACTGTTGTAATACGAGTCAACTCTGTGAACATAAATAAAAAGCACATGTGAAGAGCATATGAAAAAGTAAAGTTTGTCTGATTTGTATGGTCAAATCATATTTCCAAAATAAATACAATCTGATATGGTATATAATTCAAAAGTTAATTTTGGAACTTAAGAATTTTTGATAGATTTACTAAAAAATAAATACACATGTTTAATAAATTGTATATCTCCTAAATATTGCACAGTAAAAGAAAAGTTGCAAATGAAGTAAAAACATAAAAAATAAGTATAAATAAAAAAGCATAAGTAAAATTAGTAACATAATTACAATTTAAATAGGAAGCATAATCATCACTTAACATTTTATAAATTAAACTATTAAATTAGTCCATTCATTTACCTCAATAACTCTCTTTTCTAATTTTTCTCTGTCCCGCTGTTCTTTAGGTTGCTGGGATTAAAAAATTATTATTTTTAAAAACATACTTAAATATTAATATTAAAATTTTAATAATTCCAACAAAAAAACGAAAATAATTAATCCTGTGTCAACACACTGTCATAAAATATTAAATAAAAGTACAATTAAAACTTGTTCAAAACCAGTTTAAATGTGCATTAAATTCTACAATATATAATTTTAGATACCAATTGAACAAAAAAATTACTTTCCAAAGAATTGTTTTCAGAATTTTATCTGAAACTGAATTTAATTACAGCTAAATTAATTCCATAGTCCAAAGCTTGCAATGTAATTAATATACACTGTGATACTTAGTATAAATAACAACTTAAGATCTGCATTTTTTTAATACCAAACATTCATGATTCAAGAACCTTTAAAACATAATGTTTCAATAAGATTTTATCACAAGATAGAGAATTTTTTAAGGCAAATTAGAAGTCACACACATTTTTATACTGCAAAATAAAATTAAAAACCAAATGTAACAATAAAATCGCATGCACTAAGGTATTTTTCTACGAAAATAAAGTTAAATCAGAATCAAATAACTGTTTATATAAAGGATATTTATACAGCAACTATGTAGAATGATTAAGATTACATAAATATTATTTATCAAAAACCAAGTATGTGATCCCGAAATAGATCATACATGCTGTTTGCAATATTACATCTAATAAAACTGCAGCATAATTTAATAGCAAAGCAAGCAAATTACAAGTTCACTTGAATAAATAAAATTCATAATAATTTCAACTAAAAATAAGATTAAGATTTTAAATAATTTAATAATTCAGTGACTACTATTTAAAGCAACAACACAATGTAGCTACAGTAAAAATAAATAAAAAATATAACAGATTATAGATCAAACATGCAGCAAATTTATATATGTAATCATAATATCAATGTTTTTTTGTTTGAAAAAATTTCAAAAAAAATTGTCATTTTTATTTATTTTTTTATTATTTATTCATTTATTTTTAGATACCTGAAAAATTTTTTTAACTGTTTTTTTTTTTTAAATGTGTTTGACCAAATTAATACAAATAAGATTTATTAATGCAGCTTTCAATGAATTATGATATATTAAATGACACCATAAGGATATTACATAATAATGAAACATGAAGAAATACCAAAACATTTCTGATAAGTGTAAGAGAAATTGGTCATAGTATCTATAAAAGTGATCATAATATACATATTTAAATTAATATAATATGCTCTAAATGTTGTCAAGTGGTATCAATAAATGCATTATTTGCACTGTACAAAACTTGTTTTCTCTTTTTAAAACTTAAAAAAAAAAAAAAAAAAAAAGTTTTCATACTTTAATTCAACTCCTTCAAAGATAAGTATATATATATATATTACCTTAAGTTGTCTACATATCTCAAATGCAAGCTATGTTTTAATAAATAACAGAAAAACTCTACTTCAGAAGCTGTTACCAATAAATGACTGTTTGAATATGATTTGTCACCTTTTTACTTTTTAAAAATGTCTGAAATTATAGAATGCAAAAAATTTGAGAACTCAGGTATAAATAATTTTATTCATGTGATAATCAGAGATAAACCAACTTGAATTAGATTAATTATTCTAAGACAGATTACAATTGCATTACAAACACTGGTTTCATTAAGTTTAAACCAATTTTTAAAATCAGTTTTCTATATTATATTCAAAATTGGTATACATTTTTATCTTTTGGGAGGTACCTTTCTCGTACTGACACATGTTATATCTAGAAGAGAAGAGTGCATTCAGTAAAATATTTTAGCAGCTGAAAATTTCGGTAATACATAAGTATAAAATATAACATTATTATCTGCTTCAACAATAAAATTTACATTAACGATTTATTATTTTTTGAAAAGTTTCAAAATAATTTTTATTAATTTGTTTCATAAAAAAATGAATGTACAGTTCTTAATTTTTAATTTCATACTTATTAACTTTTTTAACAATTTATTCTGAATATCTTACTTAAAAAAATACAAACTACAGCAGCTGAGAATGACTCAGACTGCAGGACTTCTAGATGAGGTTCAAAAGAAAGAATAAAAAACTGCTCTCTATTGAAGCCAGTCAAAATTTTGGGAAATGAAAATAATGTTTACAAGGAGCAATTATTCTGTATTCATTTAAATCAGGGCAATACTACAATTCAGTATGCATTTGAAGTCAGAGAACCACTTCTAAAATTGGCCACATTAAAAAATGAGTCACTTTAACTACACTGCAGCTGGATCTTCATTAAATGCTTTCAGAAGGATAATACTTACTAATACTGAATTGTTCATTAAATTAAATCGGTTGTGAATATATATTACTTATCATATTTTCAATTCTTAAAAACTGATAAACAGAAAATAAATTCAATTTATTAAAGTTACTTAATAATGGAATTTTAACAAACAACTACCATCATATGATTCTAACATAAAATTTAAAGGCAAGTAATTTTTTATAGAATCATGTACACATATTTGTTTATAAGTTGTTTCTATAATCTTATTTAAAATGAAAACAACTTGAAATTCCAGAATAAATAATAATAATGCATTGCAAGAAACAAAAGCACATAAGTTGAATTAAATAGATGCATAGGGGAAAAAAAGGCTCCACAAAACTACAAAAATGAATTGAATGTAGGGGTAAAAAGTTCTACTTTAAAATATGAAATATTATTAGAATGTTAATGTACATTTTCAGAAGCTTGAATGTAATTCTTAGCTACAAGCTATATTTAAACTAGTCCATTTACACACAAAATGAAAATATCTATGGCATGAATAATAATAATTTTATTCAAATTTTGAGACAGAAATTATAGCCATATATCACAAAACATGCTAAAATTCAAAAAAGTAAAAACCATATACTCAGATTAAATCCAGTATTTTCACCCTAATATAATTCTAAACATTTTTGAGTAATTTTTATCATGTGAACAGCAAATTTATCATGTGATATATAAAATAAATAAATCATGTGAACAGTAAAGCATTTCTATTAAACAGAGGAAATCAATTATTACATGATGCCCCGTCACCTTTCTTAAAAATTTTTTTAAAAAAGTATATTTGGAGAAAAGCTAAAATAATATTAGTTAGAAAAGGAACTACAACATATTTTGTTAGCTGCCAGTAATGACAAAATAATCATGCAGCAGGCGATAACATACAGGCCCTCACAGAAGTCATACCTGTATCGCCAGTATCTCTGAAAACTGACTCCATGGTCCAAAATCCACTTGACTTAAAAGTACCGGAATGATTATTCTACTTGTCAGGTAAGTAACAGCTGAAATCAATGTGCTGCATACCTACAGGAAGAATTCCTTTTATGGAACTTTATGAATCTAGCTTTAGCACCAAAGAATAGGCAATTATAGATTTTAATACTAGAACAGCAAACCCATAAAAATGATTGATTTTTCATGTGGCAAAACTAATTATATATTCACTGCTGGCAATTCTAATGTTTAATTACTTAGATTATGCATACTACTAATACATGAAAAAGTCAACATTCAATTCTAAAACTATTAGCATTGAAGGTATATTTAGTTCTACTACATCTACAATGCATCATTTCAAAGGCTGGTTGTTCCAGTGTTAATAGAATATTTTTTGAGGAAATGGATATTTAGACTACTTGTTTTTCTAGCCATCTGAATTTCTTAAAAATTTTCACTAATACACCAAATTTAAGTCAATATAATATTGCTCCAGTAGCTACATCTTTTAATATTTTTATGAAATTTAGTAAAGCACTGCAAATAATAAATAATGTAAAGAAGTAAATAAAAAAAGGCCCATACAAATAAATATTACATGCAAACACTTCACAAATAAAAATAAATAAATAAATAAAGCTACTTAAATATAATGTGTTGCAAAATAACTATTATTTCACAAACCTTAAATAAGATAATTATTTTTTATTATGCTTAACTTATATCAGAACAGGTATACTTGGGGGGGGAGTGAATCTGATTTTAGTAATAAGTGTAAAATAAATTAGTAATCATATACTTGCAACAGAAAACTGGAAAAAATTAAAAAATAGATGCAAGAATTAATGATAGAAAAATTCAAATGTACTCAAAAAAAGGCTTTTCATACGAAAATATTAAATACTGCAGCATGATACAGAAAATAACATGGTCTTTAAACATACCCTAAAAACTGATAGAAATCTAACAATATTGTTGTATGATTTCTGTGGTTACTTATCAGATGTACATGGATTATATGCTTTCCTTTTTTGTTTAAGCACAAAATGTTCATACATGAAAGGAAACTAAAATATATATTGTTATGTGTATCATAAACTTCAAAACCAGTGAACAGCAACCACTTTCCCTACAGAGTAAATAATATTTTCTGTTTACACTTTTTATAGTCAACACACAGCAACAAGAAAGCAAGAACAAAATATAATTCACCAAAAAGCAAGCATTTTGAACAAGCCGCTTTGCAAAGTAAAATGAAAAATACAACAGGATTAAAATATATGTAGATTAGCTAATACCAAATAAAGAATCTGTTTATATACTGATGACCAAAGACTGAAGTTTCAACTGAAAATGAATATCTGGCTGCTAAACTATGCTTATTCTAAAATAATGAAAGCAGATATTTGCATGTGCAAACCCATACATCACTTCATAAACCATAATGATTCATAAACTATAATAATTCCTATTACAATCTACTATCTAATAACTTAAATAAACAACTATGTATTTAAAATTTTAATCAAAACAAAATATTATTTGAATTTTTTTCATATATAATGTACTTACAGCAATATGTTTTTATTTTTAAAGTAATCTGTCTGTAAGCAAATTACATTAAGAATAATTTCATTCTGCAGATTCCATCTAATAACTTACATGATCATATTTTTAACCCTTTCTGAGGGGATGTGAAATATATGCAATTCAGTCACTTTCATCTACAGTGGTTCACAAAAATGATCAGACACTTTGAAATTTTCTGTACTTTAATCAACATAAAAACAAAAATAAATTTAAAAAAAATTATAGTAAATACATTTTTGAAAAGACTAAAATTAAATTAAAAAATCAATATTGTTTGTTTAATGAGGATAAATATTCTCACAAAAATAATCGGACACTTTTCGTAACAGCTAAAAATGACAAAAACTTGCATTGCTTTTGCTCTTTATTATTTTATGGGATTACCTTTATACTTCATTTAATCTTTGGGGCATTGGCTCCACAAGTTTTTTGTTATTTCTGGACTAATTTTATGCTACTTCTCTTGAATCACAGCTTTCAGCTGCTGCCACGAAGATATGCTTTTTTTTTTTTTTTTTTTTTTTTCTTAGCTTCTGACAAATATGTTAAACAGGGGATGGTGCCTTAGCTACTTCTGGCTGCTTATATAACAGCTAGAGACTAATATTGTTAGCAGTATGCTCTGGATCATTGTACTGGTACAATTTAATTTGTATATTAAGTTTTTGTGTTGATAATGCCAAATTTCATTTCTAGATACAACTATACTTATACTGATCCATGATACAATGTATAAACTCGATATTACCAACTTTGGAATATACCATACATCTCCATACCATAAATCCTCCTTGACCTTGTTTACTAAGTTTTACTGGATACTAAGTTTTGCTTCCGAAATTCTTTGTTTTCTAGTTATCAGCACTTGTCCATCTCAGCCAAACATGTTAAATTTACTTTCATCAACAAACAACAAATTTTCAGTAGTTGGGTACGTTTTGTTTCATCGATTTTGCGAAAGAGAGTCCTTGCAATTTCTTGATATACAACTGTTTCATATAATGCATGTAGTTCAGCAATGAGTTTAGGACCACTCAGTCTTGGATTCTTTTTTTATATACCTTAGAATAAAGTGTTTCATTCCATCAGATAACTTAGATTGTCTTCCTGGTCTTGTTTTGTTTTGAATACAATTCTGTTTCTTATTAGGCTTAATATAAAAAAGTAGAGAATTACTTAAAATTAAGTAAATCGGAAATTTTTCTAATAGATTTCTCTTTCTTTTAATGCAAATCAATAACTAATCTGCGAGTTTCTAAAGATGTTTAATTTCATGAGCGAGTCATAGTAAGAAAACATTAAAAATAACGAATATTCTATTAAAAAAAATTCAAATTATAAAAGCAAACTATTTTCAGATTGTTGTCCATCTTCTTTATCCAAAATACCATAAAAGTTAGTTTTCTATTTATTGAAGACAATTTTAATTAGAAATTCTGAAAATGTCTGATTAATTTTGTGATGTGATATTTTTTTTTTTTTTTTTTTTTTTCCATTTCAGCCTAAAACAGTACTTTTTAATTTTACAATTTAATTTAGTCAAATTTATTTAGTACCAAAAGGGAGCTAAGAAAATGTGTATTCAAATGAAAAATATTCTCTAATATTTTATTTCAAAGCTTTTCTCCTATTACTAAAAAAATTTTAAGGAATCATAGTGTCCGATCATTTTTGTAAGGCATTGTAGATAACTTGGAAAATTAATAAAACCCCAAATTTCCTAATTTCAGTTGCTTTTTAGTCCAAAGGGGCTTTGTCGCTGAAGAACTATTGTTTTCGTTTTGCGATTTTCCGTCAATTCACTACAAACGGCAAATCACTTTTCAAACTGTTGCCACAAAATATTATTGCCCTGTGTTATATTTAAAGAAATTAAATAATAAAAAATCTGCATAAATGTTTGTATATTTCTCGCATTGTGATAAAAAAACAGTACACAGAGCCATTGAATTTTGTATGATGTAATCCTCCTACGTATATGGGCATGAAGATCAAATTTGAAATTTGGAATTTGTTTTATTATCAATTTCTTGTTTTGTAAAACTTTAACGAATTTTTGATTAACAAACTCAAGGATTTTAAAGTGAGCAATGGCAACGTTGTATAGAAAAAACATTTTTATCTCCAGTGCACGAGTCTCTGTATTGAAAATTCTAAAGATATGCTCATTTTAAAACTATTCTGTGATATTGCTGTTGAACTGAATTTTATGGTTTAAGTGCACAGAACGTGATATTTAATAAATAAATGTAACACTCAAAATGTACATGGATAAAGTTAAAAAAGTGCGCAATGCCATTTTTGTGCAATTCGGGGATTTTTGTGCAATTCAGGGAAGTGAAAATAGGTCGACGTGTACATGGATAAAGTCAAGGGAGTGTGCAATGCCATTTTTGGGCAATTCAGAGATTTTTTTTAAGTGAAAAATAGGTCGATGTGTACATGGATACTGCGTTTGTGTAATTCTTTTTCTTGTCATTTTGGCTTTGTGTAGCGGCGATTTTTGGGTTATGCCAAAATAATAAGTCAAAGAATTGCATAAACTCGGTATCCATGTACCGCCAAAAATCGCCAAGGAGTATCCTAAAATATACTTTTACCTTTCATTTATATGTTGATTTAAGTGGCTAGCCCAATGCGCAGCTGCACCACAGGTCCGGGGTTTGATCCCCAGCTGGACAAGATTGACTCAATCTTTTATGCCTTGAATGGGTCGATTAAGTACCAAGTTCACGTGAGGACTAAGCACTGGGGGGGGGGTCCTGTGACAAGCCGATCAATTGCCTAGGGCATATACTGATGCATTCCAGGGCCCAAGATCAAGAAAGCAGGGGCACTGCAGGCCATGGCTCAGTAGGGCTGTTGCGCCGCTGAGTTTAGTTTTTAGTTTAGATGTTCATTTTCCTCCCCAATTCACAAATCTTCCTGAATAATGTCACAAAAATAAAATGGAATGGAAAAAAAATAGATTTCTAACCTGTGCAAGACATAGTTAGCATGCATCTGAATTTCCATCAGAAATTATTTAATTTCAGAGAAAGATCTGGGGAATTAAATTCAAAGGTTCTTTGGAAATCATAAATTTACAAACTGGCAGCTAACAAATGAGTAGCAATAAAATATGTTTTCATTGTACCGATTTCACAAATTAAAATAAAAATCAAACTTAATTTTTAAAGCCAAAAAAAATTATTACAAAAGCTAGCATCTCGTACTTCACATATTTTATTGTAAAGGACTTACCTTTCTAGGTTTTACTTGCGATGTTGCTGTTTTTAAGGTGTTCCACGTTTTTTGAAATGCTTTTTGTTGAATATCTGGATTGCTTGAAGGTTTGTCGACTTTCTTAGGATTAAAAAGATGTTTTTTGCATATCTATAATTTACAAGGCATTGTTTCAAAGACATAAATAAAACAGAAAAAATATTAAGGTACAAATTCCTTTAACTACCATTTTCAATTAATTTCTTGTAATACACATTTTCTAACATTGTTCTATTCTGACTAAATAATAAAAACATTTGAATACAGCTTCACAAAGAAGCTGAATCCCATTTCTCTGAAAATTATCATTCAAATTACAGAATTAAAATATTTACGTTCATTCTCTACTAGATATTTTAGTTCTGATTCCCTCTAACCACCTATTTCAAGAATCTCTTTTTATATTACTACGATAATCCTACTAAAATTAAGGGCTTTATCGCAGTAAAATCAAAACTTTTTATTTATTAGTAACAGTATTTTTGCTTTTATTGAAGTAAGTTAATACTTTCTGAATACCCACAGTTTGTTTGTATTAAAACTTATTCAGCAGATAGAATTATAATCAGAGAATTTATCTTGTAGAAGAAAATACATCTGTTGAAAAAAAATGCATATATTTACTAAATCATTCTAAAAGACAATGACTTTCCCTGAATCACACAATGTTCTTATACAGGCTCTTTACACAGAAAACTAGATCAGCAAACAGATCTTGTGATATCTAAGCCTTTAGATTTCACTGAATTTTTGTCTAATATTATTAAAATTTTGAATTATTCAGCATTTCATGATACTTAAAAACAAATGCACTGTAAAATATTAACTTACAGATTTACGTCTTAAAAATGTTAATCTTTATTTCAGAGCACGGAAAAAGAATTTAAGTTTAAAATAAATTTGCCAATGATAGGGAAATCAGAAAATTAGTTTTGACCTTAAATACATTTAGTATCTGAATAGAATTCATGTATTAAAATGTGTTAGCAAAAATATCTTTTTATAAATTTTTATGTTCTCCCCAAATAAAACCATTTAGATTTCTTAAAACAGAAAACATACACGAACAATATTATCATAATGTTAAAGAACCATCATAATAAAGCAACATTTTAAATGATGAAAAATTTTAATATTTTCCATCATAAGAAATGGATTTTTATTTCCTCATTACAGACTGCAATACAAATTCCAAAATTTACTTAAATGCAATGATTCCCTTATCAACAATACTTCTTTAAAAATACAATATTTCTTTTAAAAGATAATAAAAAATAATAAAACTGCCTATATTTTCATGCTGACAAATACAGTATGTCAATATTTATAAATGCAAGAAAAAGTGTAAAACATACTTCAAATTCAACATCTGGAAGATGTTGCTGGTTCAATGGCAAAAGTGCTATTTTTTGGATTTTATAAACATCATGGCCACCTGGAAGGCATCCAACTAAGGAGCGTTCTCTGACAAGAACTAATCGCTTGTCAATATCTGAAAGATTAAAATATAAAAAATTCAGAATTGGAAAACACAAAATATGGATTTATACACTAGAATATCTCTTTTTTCTTACCTTGCTGAATAGTGAACTTTCCAATGAGACCAAACACAATTCCTATACATACAAAATCGGACAGTTTTTCAACTTCTCTGGCTAAGAAAAAATAAAAATTTAAAAAATTAAAAATTATCATTTGGGAAAATTTTCACAAAGAGATTATTCATAAATTCAAATAATTAAGAATAAATATTAAGAATAAAATTATTAGATATTTCTCCCGCCTTCCTAGTTTGCCTTCGTGGGGTAGTGGCTCTGCACGCTGGGACGGTATTCCAGAGGTCCGTGGTTCGATTCCCAGCGAAAGCGTTGTTAATTTTTCATCTTTCCTGCTTCCAAAATACTTAATGTTTCTACAAAATGAGTAATTGAAGAATCACTATTATGAACATGTTATTTGTTAAAGAATCACTATAACTGAACATGTTATTTTGTTATTTGTTATAACTACTTTAATTCAATGATAGAGTTTCTTAAACATGTATTTTTTCCTTTCCTAGGATTTCCCACAGATTTGTTGATTGAAAGCTGTTTGTTCAAGTTTCAGGTGTAAAAAATCAGATACTTTACGATAATATATACATACATATGTACCTACCAGTTATTAAACTGACTAGTCAATAAACTCAACAGCTAGTTCCACTTAGACTTACTTCCAAGAACCAAAAAAAGTACATGCTAATCAATAAAAAAACTACCGTTTATTAAACACATCTGCCACTTATTAAACTCATACTGGCAAAAGACTGATACTTCAGTGCCAAGATTTCCTACTTGTATACCTATCAAAGCTTTTCCTAGTTCATCTATTTAACAATTCATGGAATGTGGCTTTATCATTCAGGCATACAGTGCTTCAGTAATTTGATATTTTACAAACCCTGTACCTATATCTGTGAGACACTATTTTCAGAGTACCATAATTTCAGGTAGATAAGCCGCTCTAGCATATACACCACACACATGATCATTGACTTAAAAAAATTAAAGTTCAGATAAGCCGCACTGCTGTGTACGCCTCAGCAAAGCATTCCGAAACATGGCACTTAATATTCACTTAATCAGTAATTCCCTACCATATTGATTTGATAATATTTTATAGCATTTACAACATAAATATAATCAGCAATGTATAAATAAATAAGAAAGAAACATCTTAACTTGAAGAAAGCAAACTCTGACAATTTCTAATAGCTATTATTTTTATGGGTTCGGCAAACCTCATTTATCACCATAAATTACATATTGTGAAAAGAATACGTACATTAGATAAACAATCAGATTTTTTAATTAAATTAAACTACATTTATTTATGCAAAACCATCACAATCTGACTCATCGATGTCAGAATTAAATAAATTTAACAAATGACCATCAAGGGCAATTTCATCATTCTGTTCTAAATCACTTCTTTCAACGCCACTGTCTTCATTTTTTTTCTTTTCCGATGATTTCCGATTTAATGAACGATTTAATGAAATTAATGATTAATGAAAGATTCCGATTTAATGAAAGCTGTACGATCGTATCAGCTTTCATTGAATCAGAATCTGAGCTGATACAATCGTATCAGCTCGGACTGATTGCCATGCCATGATTTGCATAAGGCAACCTCCTCATATGAAGCTTGTAAGGATCTTAAGTTTTACTAACGTTTATTTTATTTTAAATCTTTACTATCACTTCTTATTTTCTACTTCCGGCCAGAATTAAAAGCTTTAACTTATTTATGCAAATTTGTCTTGCGAACGCCAAGTACTTAAGTTGTGGCTTTTTGCCAAGCAAGAGAGAGGAAGGAGTGATTAGGAGCGGGCCGCTTGCCATTGCAGTTTTACTCGGTTGCTGGTTGCCTTCAAGGCCAGAGGTTTAATCCTCTTGATAATTTTAAACGTATCGTAGTGTTAACAGTTCTCTGTACTACATACGGCCTTTCTGTTAATATACGGCCAATCTTCAAGTAGACACTTGTTTATTAAATCCAAAGTTAGTTTAGTTAGAATTTAGTTAATATTTTTATATTCTTACGTTCAGACCACAAGTGGTTGGTCTCTGTATTCCGAAGTCCGGAAATCATTGTAAAGAGAGAAAAAATAAAGGGTTTCGTATACCCTTCCTGTGTATCTTGTCTACTTCCCACATTTATTGAACATAGCTTTACTAAGCTCCCTGTTCCGAGTCAGGTAATTTAATGTTCCCCAAGCAAGTAAGGAGGAACACTGAACCTGATAAGCTTTTCTCCTTCGTCCAGAAATTGTGAAGGAATGGAGTCCACTTTGCATCCATTCCAACCAATATCTGTAAAATTTTGTAAGCCCACCTGGTATCACTGAGACATCGGTGCTAAGTTTTTCTGCTTTGGATCTTACTGTATCCACTAAATGGAATCGCGTTGAATCCAGAACAATGAGTCTTCAGGGATGGAAAAAAGCACCTTTCCTTTTTCAATAAATTTCTCTCAGCCAAAACAACATCACTTCTTCACACATCCATCCTTTTTAGTTGGTGCAAATGATAACCCCTTTAGGGAAGTTTCCTTTCAGAATTGTTTTTCTTTTGAAAATTATCAAAGCAGTTAACATCGCTCCATTGGCGGCACAACACAAAACATAAGTAAAAGAAGTCTTTTTACACCCAGTTGTCAACACTGAAATAGTTTTTTCTCCTATTGAATGAAGAGTTCTGCGCAGAGGACAGTCAAAAGTAACAGGCACTCCAGTCCACGGAAAGCTTTTGTTTGACTGTTATTTTGGTGCTGATAGATACACACACCACTTAGGTCCTCCAACAGATGTTTTAATGCTCATTTGTCCTTTGCTTGAAGGAGAATTCTAACTGTTGACACTGATAATCCACTTTCTTCTATTGTCCATTTCAGTGGCGTAAATAGAACTCTTCGGCCCTTATGCAAAACATTTTCCTGGCCCCTTTCCCAGTAAATTTAATGTGCTTAAAAATAACAAAAAAAAAAAAAAAAAAAGCTTCGTGGAGGACTTTCTAAGGGAAACTGGCTCGTATACACGTTACACATGGGGAAAACCACGAAAACGCCCATGCAGCCAGCCCGTTCGCGGGATTCGAACCTCGGACCGAACTACCAGTGTTCAGCGATTTTACCGCTCGGCTGCTGGTGGGCCTCTTTATCACATCTGGATTAATTGTTAAAAAGTATAAGCACGTTTATAGGGAACCATTTGAAAGGTACGTAACATGAAGAAAGAATAAAAAGGAAAATAATTTCCCTTGACAAACTGGTGAAATGTAAATTTGCTTTAGTCTGGGTATTTGACGTCAGATGATTTTAATTCAGTTACTTGAGACTTTTTGTATGAGTGCGAGAAGACAGATTTTTCTCCCTTTCACTGAGATGCATACTGATAATAAACGAATGAAGTCTATATAAAAAAAGGAACATGTCGACGTATAGCATTAAGAAAAAGAAGAAAGCCTAGATTTGCGGAGATTTTTATATAAAGTCCAAGAAGTTTTACATATTAATGTTTTAAATTTTTATATAAAATCTGCATAAATATCAGTTTTTTCGCTAAGTTAGCAAACTTATAAATAATTAGTTATATTATAAACCGACAGACAAGATAATTGATAAACGTACAGAATAGCTATTACATTAATGTATAGTACTCTGTGATTTACTCAGCTTACAAACATGATTTATGCAATAATATACAAGTAATAAATAAGAACTTTTACAATGTAAATGATACATTTGTTAAATATAAAACACATTTATCATAAACTTCATAAAGAAAACTATTTGAGCATAAAACTTTTGTAGAAAATATGTATGGTAAAGTTTTTTTCTGTCTTTTTAAAAAAAACCTTTTGGTACACTAAGATACTTGAATACATGATTTTTATAAAAAAAATATGAATGCTAAAGTTTTTTACTGTTTCCTTTTAATTTTTCTCAGTCCGTACTGCTCTTCTTCTCTAATTTTTTCCTCCCTCAATAAGTGTAATGATAACATTGGTGGCCAAAATTCATCATAAAGAAAAAAATCCTTCTTTTAAAATTTGCGTCTCCTAACCTATTTCCACAAAATTATTTATCAATACTTAAACGTCCATTTTCTCAGCCATCTCAGTTTCAACGCCTTCTAAATAAGGGTGCGTCTTATATGCCGTCAAATACGGTAGTCGGAATTGGTTCCATGGATTCTGCTATGCACACAATATTGGAAACCTTATCTATATCCTTGCTTTTAATAACAAAAAGTTTCCCCCCTCCAAAACTGCACCTAAACAACATTTATGATTTTGGAAAAAAAAAAAAAAAAAAAGCGACTATCTATATGTCGTCTTAAGACTAAATTACCATTTCTGATTTGTCTCTCAATATCCTCAGACTCACATGTTGCACAACTGCTTATCATCTTCATTTACTACTACAATAAACAAGCAGTGGATGAAGCTTTGTCTTCACTAAAAGCTCTGACCTACACCTTTTCAGAAAAACTGCACATTACTTTTTACTTTAGTAACAGTTGGAATACAGGAGTCATAGCATAATTAACATAATTCCAAGCTTTATCAAAATTTTTGAAAGTCATTAGGTTTATTTTGGAGCAGGAAACATGAAAATTACTCCCTGAACCTTGCAACTGCTAGCCATATGTGCTTCCAACTACACCACAAAGCCACATGAAAAGGAAAGAGAAAATTCCCTGCATTCCCTTCCACTTCAATGGTTATTAGAGAGAACACAGTTGCTAAATCCTGCTGGTGATGAATTAACAATCTACCATATTATACTTTAGGTACCACTTATACAGTCCTTATATTTATTTCACAGAAGAAAATGAAAAATCACCAATGCCCTTGCTGTTTTCTGAACTCCAGATCTCTTGATTTTTAGTCAGATGTGGCCCTAATAACACCATGATTGCATATGATAATAAAGAGGAAAACTCCTTGTAAAGGTTTATGTTAATTTTCTAATGGTTATTTTTATTTTTGAATAAGCTGTCTTTTACTTCCTTATTTCCCATCTACAATTCCCTGCCAGAATGAGTTTTTAGGATCCAATATAATGTTCTAGCTAAATTTGTGGTCCCTACAAGCTAGAATGCTTATGAGCT